GAAGAGATTATGGTAGGGTACGAAACCACCTCAAAGTTATTCTTTCCAATCAATCCGTTGGGCTATTCCTATAAGTGTCACAAATAGCCCTAGAGTTCGTACTAGAATAACACCTTAAGACCCAAATCAATCAAAACCCTAATGTCACCTAGATACTCCAATGTCACCTCAAGTATCCGTGGGTATGATTATACGATATGCATCACACAATCTTAGATTCATCTATTCAACCAACACATAGAACCTTAAAGAGTGCCCCAAAGTTTCTACCGGAGAATCACGATGAAAACGTGTGCCAACCCCTATGCATAGGTTCATGGGCGAAACCCGCAAGTTGATCACCAAAACATACATCAAGTGAATCACGGGGTATCCCATTGTCACCACAGATACGCACGGCAAGACATACATCAAGTGTTCTCAAATCTTTAAAGACTCGATCCAATAAGATAACTTCAAAGGGGAAACTCAATCCATTACAAGAGAGTAGAGGGGGAAGAAAATATCATAAGATCCAACTATAATAGCAAAGCTCACGATACATCAAGATCGTGCCAAATCAAGAACACGAGAGAGAGAGAGAGAGAGATCAAACACATAGCTACTGGTACATACCCTCAGCCCCGAGGGTGAACTACTCCCTCCTCGTCATGGAGAGCACCGGGATGATGAAGATGGCCACCGAGAGGGATTCCCCCTCCGGCGGGGTGCCGGAACGGGTCTAGATTGGTTTTCGGTGGCTACGGAGGCTTCTGGCGGCGAAACTCACGATCAATTGTGCTCTCGGATGTTTTAAGGGTATATGGAGATATATAGGCGGAAGAAGTACGTTAGGGGGGCCACGAGGGGCCCACGAGGGTGGAGGGCGCGCCCAGGGGGGTGGGCGCGCCCCCTGCTTCGTGGCCTCCTCGTAGATCCCCTGGCGTGCACTCCAAGTCTTCTAGGCTTCTTCTGATCCAAAAATAAGTTCCATGAAGTTTCAGGTCAATTGGACTCCGTTTGGTTTTCCTTTTCTACGATGTTCTAAAACAAGGTAAAAACAGAAACTGGCACTGGGCTCTGGGTTAATAGGTTAGTCCCAAAAATAATATAAAAGTGCATAATAAAGCCCATAAACATCCAAAGTTGATAATATAATAGCATGGAACAATCAAAAATTATAGATACATTGGAGACGTATCAGCATCCCCAAGCTTAATTCCTGCTCGTCCTCGAGTAGGTAAATGATAAAAACAGAATTTTTGATGTGGAATGCTACCTAACGTATTTATCCATGTAGTCTTCTTTATTGTGGCAAGAATATTCATATCAATAAGATTCAAGACAAAAGTTTAATATTGACATAAAAATAATAATACTTCAAGCATACTAACCAAGTAATCATGTCTTCTCAAAATAACATGGCCAAATAAAGCTATCCCTACAAAATCATATAGTCTGGCTATGCTCTATCTTCACCACACAAAATATTTAAATCATGCACAACCCCGATGACAAGACAAGCAATTGTTTCATACTTTTGATGTTTCAAACTTTTTCAATCTTCACGCAATACATGAGCGTGAGCCATGGACATAGAACTATAGGTGGAATAGAATGGTGGTTGTGGAGAAGACAAAAAGGAGAAGATAGTCTCACATCAACTAGGTGTATCAATGGGCTATGGAGATGCCCATCAATAGATATCAATGTGAGTGAGTAGGGATTGCCATGCAACGGATGCACTAGAGCTATAAGTGTATGAAAGCTCATCAAAAGAAACTAAGTGGGTGTGCATCCAACTTGCTCGCTCACGAAGACCTAGGGCATTTTGAGGAAGCCCATCATTGGAATATACAAGCCAAGTTCTATAATGAAAGATTCCCACTAGTATATGAAAGTGACAACATAGGAGTCTCTCTATCATGAAGATTATGGTGCTACTTTGAAGCACAAGTGTGGTAAAAGGATAGTAGCATTGCCCCTTCTCTCTTTTTCTCTCTTTTTTATATTTTTTTGTTTGGGCCTTTTTCTCTTCTTTTTTATGGCCTCTTTTATTATTATTTTTTATTTTTTGTCTGGGGTCTCATCCCGACTTGTGGGGGAATCATAGTCTCCATCATCCTTTCCTCACTGGGACAATGCTCTAATAATGATGATCATCACACTTTTATTTACTTACAACTCAAGAATTACAACTCGATACTTAGAACAAGATACGACTCTATATGAATGCCTCTGGCGGTGTACCGGGATGTGCAATGACTCATGAGTGACATGTATGAAAGAATTATGAACGGTGGCTTTGCCACAAATACGATGTCAACTACATGATCATGCAAAGCGATATGACAATGATGAAGCGTGTCATAATAACAAAACGGTGGGACATTACATGGAAATATATCTCGGAATGGCTATGGAAATGCCATAATAGGTAGGTATGGTGGCTGTTCTGAGGAAGGTATATGGTGGGTTTAAGGTACCGGCGAAAGTTACGCGGTACTAGAGAGGCTAGCATGGTGGAAGAGTGAGAGTGCATATAATCCATGGATTCAACATTAGTCATAAAGAACTCACATACTTATTGCAAAAATCTATTAGTTATCGAAACAAAGTACTACACGCATGCTCCTAGGGGGATAGATTGGTAGGAAAAGACCATTGCTCGTCCCCGACCGCCACTCATAATGAAGACAATCAATAAATAAATCATGCTCCGACTTCATCACATAACGGTTCACCATACGTGCATGCTACGGGAATCACAAACTTGAACACAAGTATTTCTCAAATTCACAACTACTCAACTAGCATGACTCTAATATCACCATCTCCATATCTCAAAACAATCATCAAGTATCAAACTTCTCTTAGTATTCAATGCACTTTATGAAAGTTTTTACTATTCTTGGATGCCTAGCATATTAGGATCATTTAAGAAAATTACCATGCTATTTAAGGCTCTCAAAATAATCTAAGTGAAGCATGAGAGTTCATCTATTTCTTCAAAATAAAACTACCACCATGCTCTAAAAAGATGCAAGTCAAGCACTAAAGCAACAACAAACTACTCCGAAAGATATAAGTGAAGATCAATGAGTAGTTGAATAATTATGAAACTATGTGAAGACTCTCTAACATTTAATAATTTCAGATCTTGGTACTTTATTCAAACAGCAAGCAAAACAAAAGTAAATAAAATGACGCTCCAAGCAAAACACATATCATGTGGCGAATAAAAATATAGCTCCAAGTAAAGTTACCGATGAACGAAGACGAAAGAGGGGATGCCTTCCGGGGCATACCCAAGCTCAGGATTTTGGTTTTCCTTGAATATTACCTTGGGGTGCCTTGGGAATCCCCAATCTTAGGCTCTTTCCACTCCTTATTCCATAGTCCATCGAATCTTTACCCGAAACTTGAAAACTTCACAACACAAAACTTAAGAGAAAACTCGTAAGCTCCGTTAGTATAAGAAAATAAATCACCACTTAGGTACTGTTGTGAACTCATTCTAAATTCATATTAGTGTAATATCTACTGTATTCCAACTTATCTATGGTTCATACCCTCCGATACTACTCATAGATTCATCAAAATAAGCAAAGAGAGAAGTGCATATATCAACCTTCAACTCTTTGGTCGGTCTAGTATACACCCCTCATCTATTATACCGTCTAAGTTGCACCCTCCAACTATCAAAACCAGACGAATTACCCCCTGTCTCGCCTTGACCCTGGTTTTGGTCCAGTCAGCACATGTTGACCAGGTCAACTCGTCCAGTGAGCATGCCACGTCTGACTTAACCTACACAGCCCGAGCACCCCCTTTCTCTCATTCGATCTCTCTCTCAGATTTCCCCACCTCCGCCTGGCGCTGAGGAAACCAGCGCCGCCGCCCTGATCTCTCCCCACCGCCGCCCCGATCTCTCCCCATCGCCGCCCCTCTCCCCCCCACCGCCGCCCCTCTCCCCCCCACCGCCGCCCCGGTCTCTCCCGAGGAGA